TACTTGATATGTATGTATGCTCCAACTATAGAGGCATCTTTTATTCTATTTTCAGATAAAATCGCGAAAAAAATTAAAAAAAAAACGTCGATTTTAGAGATTGAATAACCGTTTGTCACTCTTTGAGCTTTTTTTTAGTTCTTCAAAGGGTCAGAGATCATTCTGGGTACCAAGACGAAGCGATTGGTACCTAATATATATGTGTGCTTCAAGTATAGAAATCTCTTTCACTCGTTTTTCGAGGCAGATCGCTAGAAGAATTAAGTAGCTTTAGCGAACAAATCAGTTTTTTGTTGGAAAAAACTTTAAATTTGCCTTTTTTTGAGGCTCGCACCTGAAAACATGTTTTTTAGTATCAACCTACAGAAAGAAATTGTTACTGCGGGGTACGGGCAGCAAATTGCAATATCACCATATTTGGCTCCAGTTAAGGTGCGCATTTTTGTAGATTTCCTCATTTTACCAAACTGTGTTAACCCTAGAAAGGTGGACTATTATTTACTGACAGTTATGGTGAACTATCGTAATTTTTACGACATCTAACAAAAAATTGAAAAAAAACACAAATGTAATTATAAACACTTTTATTACAAAAAATTAGAAAAAATGTAAGCCTTAGTCAGTGGTACACAGATAAATAAAGTCGATGTACACTACTCGTTTGCACACATTGTACATATATTACCTCGGTGTTCGCCACATATAGCGTGATGGCATTGGTTGCAATATGTGGTAGTCATGCGCCTCTTTTTACTAGGACAATGGAAACATGCCTTGCGTTTCTTTTTTTCAGGTAACGGACGTTCAACTTCTTCGGAAATTTTGAGGACATCTTTAATATTTTGCTTAAGATTTCGACGTAAAGTTGGAATACACAATCGTTCTCTCAGCCAGGGTTCGGCGAGATGACGAGCCAATTCAACCATATATTCGTATCTGGATAAAACTTTTCTGTTTGCTTTTAATGTGTTTGTGGTGTAAATAACATACGAGTTAATACTTGCAATATTTATCATATTATAGAAGATACACAAAGGCCATCTCCTCGTTTTACGACCCGCATTCATATTCGAACACATTTGATCAAATGTATCCACTCCGCCTTTTGTTCCATTATAATCAGTTATTATAGTGGGTTTGCCATTTATTTTGGAAACATCAGCACCTTCGTGAAGTGTTGAAAGAAGTAAAACTACCTTATTTTTCTTTGGCATATATGATACCAATGTCTTTCTTTTATCAAAACAAAACATAGATGTATTGGGGACTCTGTTCTTTACATTTAACAATTCCTGTGGAATTTCTCTTTTATTTTTGCGAAGAGTTCCGATAATTGTCAGTTTATACTGATCTTTTAGTAACTCCTCTGCTAAGCTAACTGATGTAAACCAGTTGTCCATGGTAATATTTCTGTTACTACCGTGAACTGATTTTGTAAGTTCCTTTACAAAATATGTACCCAACGGCAAACCATTTGTATTGGTTTTCTTGCCTAAATAAGGAATAGCATCGATCATATATTTCGAAGAGCTGTCACACATCATTACGATTTTGAGACCATACGAATTAGGTTTATCAGGTAAATACATTCGAAAAGGGCAACGTCCTCGAAATCCTACTAACTGTTCATCAATAGTCAGATAGGATGAAGGTGTATATGATTCTCTGCAGGTGGTAATAAAAATGTCCCATATTTCGCGTATATGCGCAAAAGGATCATCTTGCTGCCTTTCTTTTCGTGTTTCCTTTTCATCAAATCTAAGACAGTTTATTAGATATTTGAAACGCTGACCACTCATGCAAGCCTGATAAAATTTTCCTGATATATTACTGTCAAACATATATTTCACAGATAGATGACTGTCTTTATTTGCTGCAGACATTATCAAAATTGCCAATAAAGCTTGTAGCTCATTTTTACTCATGTCAGAAATATTAGGACGACTGGCATATTTTTTAGATTGTCTTGTAATTTCAGTATTTGAGTGTAACAGAGTACGACATAATATATCCTCTGAAAAAAAATGTAAGAAATATTCTTCAACTTTTGTGTAGTTTTTGGCATTTCCTTTGGGACCAGCTATAAAATGAATAATATTTCTAGCTGCCGTTCTTTTTGACAATGAAGGTATTTTGTTTGACCACTTATGCCCGTTTTTACCTTTTAGAGCCTTTCCCGGATTTACAATAAACTGAGAAACAGTGGAGTTCTCACCTGATGTTCCAGGTACTTCTTCTGTAGATTTTTCGCTTTCCATCACTATTGCTTCTATATCTGCATCCATTAAATTTACAGATGAACTGGATACACTGGATGGCTGGAAAATTTTGGAATTACCACTATTTTTAGAGTCATCTTCTTCATCTGAATCGTCCGATTCAAACTCCAAAGCATCTTCTTCTAACTCCCAGTCACTTTCACTATCTTCAAAAGGTTCCTGCTCACTATCTTCACCATTCATTATACGCTGTATTTCATCGTTTATTTCACTTGCCGTTAAAGGTTTTCGTGATGACATAGTGCTACAATTAAATAAAATAATATTTACTACAAATATAAAAAAGAATTAGATAACGACTTACCAAAAACGTCACCGGCGTCCAAATAAACTTGAGAGAAAAAAACTAACGTAGAAGGTGGACTTTCGTAAAATTGACGACGTGCCCTCAAAAAATCTAATACATAAATACAGTAGTGGAGAAACACACTCACCGCCTGTTAAATCAAGACTAAAGAAACAGCTACTGAGAAGTGTATGGGCAGAGGTTACGCGACTGCACCCGAACTGCGACGAAAACCGAGGAGCGTCGTCAAATTTACGATAGTCCACCTTTCTAGGGTTAATCAGCATATAACTGAGTATATAACTGAGTTATATATAATATGTTAAAAGGCAAAGCAGACACTTTTTTCTTACCAAAATTTATAATATTTACGAGTTCTTGATGCACGTGTTTAGTAAACATCAATTTTTAGTTTATAAACATGATATGTAGGTTGCATACCACTAGGTAATATGTAAGGAATGTGTAAAAATACAGATGCGTTTAAATAACATAAGCTTTGAGGACAAACAGATGCCAGTAGATTTTTTGAAATCCACTGGGACATATATGTCCTCACAGTAATGAAGGATTAGGACATTAATAGCAGGCATAAATAATATCGAGCAATTTATAAAACTTCCAATAAAAAAATGCTATATCAGCGACTACCACAGAGTGATAGTTTGGTATCTTGCATATTAATTGTCAATAACTATTAATTGTCAATAACATTTACAACCTAGAGACACAACAAAAATAAATAATGCCAGAGTAGGTTCTCAAATAGGCGATAACGTGATGAGACGGCACGGAGAATAGTTAAAAATGGTTCAGTTAAAACTTTTAATAGAGTTCTGGTAACTTCTTGGGTTAAAAATAATAAATATCCAATTCCAACATAAAGATTATATTCATAAGATAAAGATATTTATAAATACACTTGGAAACGACCTTCACTTCAACAAAACTCGATCATAGACTATATAATAATGAGACAGAAGTCAACATTTAAGTGCCAAGACTGCAGAGTAGAAAGAGGATCTAACTGCGGGACTGATCACTACTTTTTTTTAGCTAATCTTTTGTGTCCCTTTACACAATACTATAAACAGAACACCAAAAGTGAGAGACACAACACTACAAAGTACAAAACAGAGAGATATAAATTGCACTTTTTATGTGGGGATTCTTAGCAACTATGCGTTTGAGTTCACGGAAGCACTTAGATGTTCAACAAATACTTTACAAATATTTAATTGTTGGACTCTATTCATTCTTGCATGGAAAAAGAGAGCAGTAGAATATTAACAAGCAGGCCAATTTACGTTCTCTCTGAAGTTATTACCATTGTAAAGCAGGCCAAAAAAAGGGCAATCCGTACTCCGTTACTGACATGTCCACAGAGGATTTTACAGATTGGAAGAAAATAAACCCAATGATGGTCAAAAATTTTAATACAAATGAAAATGGATAAAAAGTTACATAGAATGAAATTACAGTTATACTGGTTAAAAAGGTAGAACCCAATAAAATATTTTTGAAGACATCCTATGCCGATTAAGAATATAAGATTATTGATCTAAATAAAAAGAAATGAAGAACAAAACCAGTAAGTATACAATGTTTACCACCTGCTTATAATGCGGCACCAACCATACCTGTAAATAAGAAGAACGATCTTATTAGCTTATGCAATGATATTCTAATTCCTGAAAAATATCATAATTTTTTTATGTCACTTAATGCATCTTCAGAAAATAATAATTCTGAGAGTGAATAAAGTTTAATTATAGACACCTATTTATTTGTTGTTTTAAATAAAGTAGTTGCTTTTCTTTATTCTAGTGTTTTTATTATATTTTTATATGAAGGGTAACATCAAAACCAATATTAATTATAGGGTAACACTAAGACAACTACCAGATATCTTTTTTTTTTCAAGGAGTTAGTGCAGTAGGACAAGTTCTATTTTTTCTAAAAATTTAAACTTCTATCTTTTTATACCTAAATGCCTTTAATTGTCTTGATATTTTGTACTCTTATCGTAAAAAATATTTCGATTGACTAATTACTAGGGATTTTATTACAGATTTAAAATACACACAAATTTTAAAATCGATTTTCTCGCAAAGGTTTTTGCACATAGCTTACTGTTGCTCTGACGTCACGATATGATATAATGAAACCAGTACAGAGTACCACTTTGTAATATCAACTTTACTTAACTAAACGTGATGAAGCAGGCAACTTCACACGTCAATTTTGCGTTCGTCAGAAAACAAATTCAGATCGTGGACTCCCCAAGGTCGGAAGTCAGTCTTAGTGGAGCTTCTAGATGGCCGTGTTACCACGCAACACAATAAAATGGTCACCGGAGAATCACCGGACCGGGTACTGTAACGTGTATGGTTTACTGTAAGTTTTCAAATTGATGCCCATCTCGATCAATACATTTACTGCAACATTCTTAAAAAGTCGTTTAGGTTTACCTCTCCATCGCCATCTCTATCAGCTTCATTAATCATTTCGAGTATTTCTTCGTCTGTTAAGTCTTTATCGAGTTCCATTACCACTTTTTTAAAATCGTCAACTGTTATAAAGCCTTTGCCGTTTTCATCAAACAACTTAAAAGCTTTGATCATATCTTCTCTTGTATCATTTTCGAACATTTTCGTAGCTAAGAGGTATAAAAAGTCATCAAATAATATCTTTCTAGTCCCTGCTTGTCATATCAGCTACTATCTTCCTTATTTCTTCTTTTCCTGGTTCAAAACCAAGTGCTCGTATAGCTACCTTAAGATCTTTTATATCAATTTTGCTAACCCCTTGGTGATCAAAAAGTTGATGAAGCTGATAGAGATGGCGATGGAGAGGTAAACCTAGACGACTTTTAAAGAATGATATGAAAAGAAATACTAGAAATATAAGTATTCTTATAAACATTATAATTTTGATTTACTGTAACGTTTTGCAATGGAGAAGCAGGTCCGGCGAAGCACGTCAAGCTGACTTTTTTTTTCTTTGTTTTATTCTTTCTATATTTTTTTCTTTAATTGTAGTTCGAAGGTCGAGCAAAGTGCATGATCCTATTGCAAAAACGCGGACCTGGAGAAGGCCTTACAGAAATAAATCACAGGGTGTTAGGTCACATGACCATGCGGGCCAGTCAACAATTCCTCGTGTGCCTATCCATTTTCCAAAATGAACATTGAGGTACTCCCGCACACATGATGTGTTTTTATTGTTGAAATTGTTTTATTGAAAACGCATCTACTCGACGATTACGTACTATTATAACGCCGAAACAACTGTCCTAAATACGGATATGCTTCGTCTTAGAGCTCTTGTTAACGACAGCGGTCAACGGATCGTTTTTGAACCGTCCCGTTGGCCGTTGCTCAGTGTCTTTCAGGTTCTTATGAATGTTTGTTCACGCAACGGCAACCAACCCGTTGGTTTACTTTTCACCGTCTACGTATCCAGTCCCCCTCGGTAAGACGTTCGACGGGACGGTGCCGTGAACCCTCAGTGAACCATTTTAGTTAGTAGTATGCAAGTGTGTTAACGGCGTTGGGCGAGCATCCGTTATTTCAATAAATTTCTTTCTTTGTTGCCGCTAAAATATGGTTTTTAGTATGGAGATTTTAATAAGTTATTTCACCAATAATTTCTTATTTTATATATATATATATATATATATATATATATATATATATACAAACAACACAGTTTATTAGGGTTGCAGTCAGAAATATTGGCCGGGATGTTAAAAAAACACTCTTTTGACTTTTTGTCGAGCTTTCGGAATATTTTATTCCTTTTTCAAGACACTAAAAGACAATTATGTAAATATTTAAAAAAATATCACCATTCTTCAGTGTAACTTACTAGTCGTTGAGATTATTTTTGTAAGCATTGAACACTCAACATTTATACCACACATTAAAATATACAATTATGGACATAATACATCATAAAATTTTTAAAATTTATTGTAAAAATAGTAAAACTTGATTGATAGCATGTTTTACTGGTATATATTAACTCATACAGAGAATGGAAAGAAAAAACAGTGTAATTAATATGTAATTAGGTGTAAATTGATGTTATCTTTCTTTACAAGCATTACTAGAGGCCTTTCTTAGGTGTCTATAATTTTTAACCTGTCTTAATAGTATGCAACATATTATACAGAGGTGTAATTTTTTGTACAGGTAAATATTTATTTTATTTTTGGTGTTTTTCTAGTAAATAACAATAAATGTTACTTAATTTGTCTATATCGGACTTTTTATTGATACAAGATGTGCTAGATTTTATGAAACACATTTCCAAAAAAACACGTTTTAAATGGTTCTTTTCTTTTGCCAAAATACAGGAATCATCGAACTTGAACTCATGTTTTAGAGTTAGTGCATGTTCTGTCAATGCACATGCATTGATTTTTTGGTTTTTATGTCACTGCGATGTGATATCACCCTGCTGTGAAAATTACGAGATGATTCTCCTATGTAAATTTTATTGCAGTTACTACTCGGTATAGAATAAACAACATTCGATGACTCCTGTACTGTGAAAGGATCTTTTGTCTTTGTGTAAAGCTTCGATACTGTTTTCACATTTTTGGTTGTAATTTTTAAGCCACTAACATTTTTAAAGATGTTCATTAGCTTAGGTGTCAAACATGGAATATAGGGTAGGCAACCATAAGTTATTTTAGATGGTAATATTGCTGCGTTATGTGTCAATGTCAATTGTCGGATCTCATTGTTATGAAAATTTTGGTTGACAGAAACTTGTGAAGGAAAGGGAGAACCGAAAATGAGTTTGTTTAACAGCCCTATGGGATAAGAATTCTCTTGTAGTATGGATCTCAACTTTTTTAGTCCCTTGTCTCTGAATTCTGTGTGTGACAAATTGATAACCCTAGTTTTTAAAGCCAAAACCAAATTTGTTTTCATCTTAGATGGATGTTGAGAATAAAAGTTTATGAAACGGTTACTGAAACAAGGTTTACGATACCACTCCGTCTTTAGCATGCCATCATTGCCACGATGGATTAGCATGTCTAAAAAAGGAATCATATTATCAGCCTCTCTCTCAACCGTAAACTTTAGGTGTTCACATTGGGCAATAAAAGTGTTTAAAACATCAGTTACCTTGTTTTCAGGGACCGATAGAATCAAATCATCTACATAACGTTTAATAAATGGTATGTGAAAAGGTATGTTTTCTTTACATGTTGTTATAAGTTCATCCAAAAACATTCTCCTTTTCCTTCACAAGTTTCTGTCAACCAAAATTTTCATAACAATGAGATCCGACAATTGACATTGACACATAACGCAGCAATATTACCATCTAAAATAACTTATGGTTGCCTACCCTATATTCCATTTTTGACACCTAAGCTAATGAACATCTTTAAAAATGTTAGTGGCTTAAAAATTACAACCAAAAATGTGAAAACAGTATCGAAGCTTTACACAAAGACAAAAGATCCTTTCACAATACAGGAGTCATCGAATCTTGTTTATTCTATACCGTGTAGTAACTGCAATAAAATTTACATAGGAGAATCATCTCGTAATTTTCACAGCAGGGTGATATCACATCGCAGTGACATAAAAACCAAAAAAATCAATGCATGTGCATTGACAGAACATGCACTAACTCTAAAACATGAGTTCAAGTTCGATGATTCCTATATTTTGGCAAAAGAAAAGAACCATTTAAAACGTGTTTTTTTGGAAATGTGTTTCATAAAATCTAGCACATCTTGTATCAATAAAAAGTCCGATATAGACAAATTAAGTAACATTTATTGTTATTTACTAGAAAAACACCAAAAATAAAATAAATATTTACCTGTACAAAAAATTACACCTCTGTATAATATGTTGCATACCATTAAGACAGGTTAAAAATTATAGACACCTAAGAAAGGCCTCTAGTAATGCTTGTAAAGAAAGATAACATCAATTTACACCTAATTACATATTAATTACACTGTTTTTTCTTTCCATTCTCTGTATGAGTTAATATACACCAGTAAAACATGCCATCAATCAAGTTTTACTATTTTTACAATAAATTTTAAAAATTTTATGATGTATTATGTCCATAATTGTATATTTTAATGTGTGGTATAAATGTTGAGTGTTCAATGCTTACAAAAATAATCTCAACGACTAGTAAGTTACACTGAAGAATGGTGATATTTTTTTAAATATTTACATAATTGTCTTTTACAGTGTCTTGAAAAAGGAATAAAAATATTCCGAAAGCTCGACAAAAAGTCAAAAGAGTGTTTTTTTTTAACATCCCGGCAAATATTTCTGACTGCAACCCTAATAAACTGTGTTGTTTGTTTATATCGACAGTCAATAATATCCAGTATTTCTTGTATATATATATATATATATATATATATATATATATATATATATATATATAGATTGTATATTCTTAAATGATAAAAAATCTATTAAGTTTACACAGAAATAATAAATCATATAAACTGTAAGTATTCAGGGTATTGGACCTAATATCAGTGGTCTTCTATTATGACCTGATTAATTCTAACTTATCTAATTTTAATCTAAGTGTACGAACCTTTCACTAAATAGACAAAAATTTTACTTTTTTTTTTTAATTTCTTAGCTATAATAAACCGTTGCATTGACTCGCGACGGTCACAAACCCCGTTTCGTTCGTCTAATTTAAAAAGCTAAATATTATTTTACTTTAATGAGGTCCGACGTCATCCATAATTCAGACATCATTTCACAAAAGTCTTTGTGAGCAGTAAATTTGGTAAAGGAAGTGCAATAAGTCTTCTTTAATTCGAAAATAAAGATATTCAAAGCTTTCCGAGATAACCTTTATTTAAGGTCTTTGCACCTTAGGGAATTATTTTCAGTTTGGGAGGATTTGTATCGGCCGTAACGAACTCGTAAAAAAGCCAGTTAGAAAGAAAAATACGAGATCGCTATCAAAGAAATTTTGTTACTTCCTTTAAAGAGTTATAAAGGAGTTTTTTAGGAGGCAATTTTGTCTACTTCTCAGTGGAGGTGCAGCACTAGGTAATTAAGAAAATTTTTACTAGAAGAAAGTTTAATAGGAAATAAGATAAAAAAATCTAATACGGTCTTAATGAAAGAAACAGATTAATATTAATTTTAAAAAATAACTTCTTTTTACCGTTTAACAGAATAACTGTCAGATGTAATACATAAAACCATAATTTTTACTGACTAGCTTCTTTCTGAAAACATAACCATATGTAAAAATATAATAGGTAATAAAGAAAGGAAAATATACATATCTACAGTGGTGTGAGTAAAAATAACAGAGCTAAGAGAGGAATCTGCTCTCGATAATCGACTATGTAATCCAACGTCAAACTTCTCAGCTGAAAATAACTGACGTAAGGTTAAGGTTATACCGTGGATTAGAACGTGGATCCGACCATCGTTTACTTATGGCCAACATGACAGTTTCTTCTTCTTAACGTGCCCTATCAAGTCCCCTTGACGTTGGCGATTAACATGGCGAAACTGTCTTTGTCTCGAGCTATTCTAAATAGTTGCTCAGCTTTCTTTATTCCTGTCCACTCCCTGATATTCTTCAACCAAGAGGCCTGCTTTCTACCAATTCCTCTGCGTCC